AGAGGTGAAAAACATTACCATTGAAATCTACCTGATGACTTTATATCCATGCTCAGGTGCCAAGGATCCATGTGTAACCAACTGTGACTAGTAATAATCATATACATAGAGATTAGAGACACATGTGCGAACATCTAAGCATTAGTAGCATTAAAAATGAGGGTTTTTTTGTATGGTACAGTATATTTTAAAATGAAATGGAGATCCTTCTTAAAGATTAAAACCTCATTCAATTTTACGTCTTATAGGGTTTATACTGAGTTCAATATTGTGTAACTGTAATTAATTCAACTCTGAACCTAAAAATTTACAGACAATTTTGAAAGAGATGCATCTTAGCTCAGAAAATTGTTATTGAATATGTCAATGCTGTTGTAATGAAATGCTTCTTCTAAGTATGTGGTTATTAAATAATTAAAAAAAACTTTATACTACAAAAGTGAGTAGAGAATAAAATTCTATTTATAGTTTAAAAAAAGAATAAAATAATTAAAAGATAGAGAAAGCTCCAATTTTCAAAGAAGGAAAAAAAACCATAAAGGTTCTTTTATTATTATTATTATTATTTTTGTCTTTTTGAGACAGGGTCTCCCTGTAGCCCCAGCTGGCCTGAAACTTGCTATATAGACAAGACTGGCCTTGAACTCACAGAGAGTTTCTTATTAAATATGCAAAATCTTCCAATTCCTGTCCCTTTTTAGGAATAATAAGACATTAAGATTCAGATTATACCTTCCCTTCCACAGAATGAGTACATAGTAATTAGATTTTGCCACATACATTACATAATGGTAGTGCTTACCATTAGGAATTATTCTTCATACATAAATAAGCCAAACTATACAATGTCACCATTACCTGGTATATCGCAGGTATTCAAATATTTACTAAATGACTTTAGAGATTAACACTAGGTTTCCACTGTCCTTATTCTCTCATGTGGGAGGTCAGGGAACAAGGCTATCTCAGAGAACAATAGCAATAGTAACAACAAAAATAACGAACAAGGTGGAGATGGCTCAGCAGTTAAGAGCACTGGCTGCTCTTGCAAAGAACCTGAGTTCGGTTCCCAAAACCCACATGGTGGCTCACAGCCATCTGTAAATCAAGTTCCAGGGGATCTGATGCCCTTTTCTGGCCTCCATAAGCATTGCACAACATGGGTACACGTACATACATGCAGGCAAAACACTCATACACATAAAATAAAAATACACATGTTCTAAATGCATGTTAAAAAATAATAATGAGGGGGCTGGAGAGATGGCTCAGTGGTTAAGAACACTGGCTGCTCTTACAGAGGACCCAGGTTCAATTCCTAGAACCCACATGGTGGCTAACAACCATCCAAAACTCTAGTTCCAGGGGATCTGATGCCCTTTTCTGACCTCCATAAGCATTGCACAACATGGGTACACGTACATACATGCAGGCAAAACACTCATACACATAAAATAAAAATACACATGTTCTAAATGCATGTTAAAAAATAATAATGAGGGGGCTGGAGAGATGGCTCAGTGGTTAAGAACACTGGCTGCTCTTACAGAGGACCCAGGTTCAGTTCCTAGAACCCACATGGTGGCTAACAACCATCCAAAACTCTAGTTCCAGGGGATCTGATGCCCTTTTCTGACCTCCATGGGCTTTGCACGATATGGGTGCACTTACATACATGCAAGGCAGTATACTCAGACCCATAAAATAGAGATAATAAATAAAATATTTTAAAAATAATAATGAACGATGAAAGTAATAAGCCATGTACATTCCAGTCTCACAGTCCCCTCAAAAGGGTAATATTATGTTTCATTTCCAGTTCATAGATGAAGGAACTAAGATATAGAGAGTTTATGTAACTTTCCCACTAGCCACGAAAGCCAGTTTTTGAACCTAGGAGTCTACTCCCGCGTCTGAGCATACTGACCAACCGAAGCGAATTAATCTTGCTAAGATCCTGTCTTGCATAAATGTCCTCGTATGCATGCCACACTGGAAAAAGGCTATTTGGGGCACATTGTTTACCCCCGAGAAGATATTTCTGGCTACTGCAATCACTTCAAACATGTTATTGCCCCCATCCATGTTGTCCTCCCCAGGACTCATGCTTGCATGGAAGAGACCAACAAGCAAAAGGTCTTCCTAAGGATACAGAACATGGAATACAAGCACTCAGCTAAGCCCATCTAGGGAGCAGGGCAAGAAAATAGCACATACCTGATGGAGAACATTTCAGACACCTACGCCTCTTCTGAAAGGAGAACTCAATGTCTCATTCTGATATGAAGCAAAATTAGTTACCTATCTCCAAATCTGCAAGCTCCCGTTTTACTGTAGAATGGACAATTGGCTCGATCTTTTTCCAGTACTCTTACATCCATGGGAGGTTCTGGGTTCTGCCAGGGGCCACCATTTTCCAACTGTTAAAAATAACCATGACTTAACTGGCAGCATAAAAAATCCATGAAAGATAAACGTTTCCCCAAATAGTTTCATAATAAGGACATGTACACTTAACTTACAATAAGGAATCAGGAATTTATAAGCAATAGTTCAGAGATGTGAGCTGTAATTAATTCTCTCTGGGCTCCAAGTCATTTTCCTTGATCCAGGGTCACTAACGTTACTAGAGGCAGTGACCAAAGTTTTCTTTCTCTCTATTAGTGCTGAAAAGCGTCCAAGAATGTAAGGAGCCACCAAAAGTACAGGTTATTCTGAATCAAGATAAATACAGAAACCATTTGGGACCAGGAGTATGAGATGTTGCTTTCAAACATTTTAAGGACTCTATACAAATACAGTCCATGGGTTGATTCAATATCATTTGTTTCTGTTCATTAATCAGACTATTCTTTTTTTTTAAGAAAGGGTCTGTCTATGTACCCAGGCTGGCCTCAAACTTGTGGTGATTCTCCTGCCTCAGCCTCCCCAGGGCTAGGATTACAGGAGCATGCAGTAACCTCCACCTATCCCAAATTCTTAATCAAAGATTTTGAAAAATACCTCATTTTCAGCCCGATCCAGCATCTTCTGCACAGCTTCCTATAAGTGGTGCAAACACAGGGCTAGTGAAAACTTGGATGTCAGATATATCTGGTTTCTCTAGTTAAGAATCTCATGTATAACAATTAACACACGTGCGCATACGAAAGGCTTCAGGTTCTGATTTCCTTTCTAAGCATGTATCTTCTAAAAATCTTTCAAAAGATATATAGCTTAGAATTTTTATTCAAATACAAAATTTGAATAGTTCACATTGCAAAATACTTATAATAGCATCAGTAACAGTAATATTTAATATATTAGTGCATAAATACCATGGTGTCTCTTTTAAGGTAGCAAAGACTATTATTTAAAAAGTTAAACAACATAAACACTGAACACAAATACTGAAGAAAAACAAAACTATGACATGATGAAGAGTAGTTAGAATTTAGAAGAAATTTTGAACCTTTAAGAAGATAAAGGAAGTCTTGCAAGGTAGCAGTTAATTTGTATCTAACTAGCTATTTTGTTTTCCCCTTTTTATTGAATTTTTGCAATTTTCACACATTATATTTTAATATTTAGATCCTTCCCCTATCTGAAACTCTCCGTACTACTTCCTACCCAAGTTAATGTACTCATATATAATATATATAAAATAAATATATGTATATAGAGTCTAATTTGTGTCCCCAAATGTCCTTCAGTGTGTGTCCATCCACTGAAGGGTGGTTAACGTACCAAGAGTCTCACCCTTAAAAGAGACTGACTCTCCCCCCAAGTAGCCCTCCATTGTCAATACTTCCTCTGATAAGGTTGGAGTTTCTAATTGTTTCTAAACACATTTGAAGACAAGTTCTATAGATTTCTCTTCCTTAGCTCCTCAGAGCAATACATACAACTTGTGTCAAGCTGCTTAGTTGCTAAGTCTACTGGACCTGGCAACTTAGAGTCGCATCAATTTAACATGATCAAAACACAGGGTTCTTTGGTTTTGGTTTTTTGGGGATGTTAGAGATCTAACTCAAGGCCTTACTTGTGCTTAGCATGCACCTTTACCACTAAGTTATACCTCACCCCCAAAACAGAACTCTTGTTCTCCTCTCCCACTCATCTCCATTACCGTCCTAAATATCCTCTCAGTAAATAATGCTACCATTTGTCCATTAGTTAAGAAAAAAAAACCCTAAAAATATGACCTGAGTTCCCTTCCCTTTCCTTCTCCCTCTCATTCACTTCACTAATTAGAGTCCTGTTAACTCTGCCTGCAACACTCCCAAATCTGAGTACTTATCTGTTTGATGCACTACCCTCATCCAAACCATTATCTCCTATCTAGAGTGCAACTAGCTGCTCATGCTATTTTATCTCTTGCCCATTCTTTCCACAAAAGTTAGGATACTCTGTTGGAGGTAACAATATGAACAGGATAAAAAAAATCACTCCTTGCTTAAAGCTCTTCTACATCTTCCCATTACACTTGCCATGCAATCAAACTCCTTTAAATCCAAGAGCCCCTGCATGATCTGCCCCTTCCAACCCTCCTGACCTCCTCCCAGGCTCCAGTCCCATCTTCCCAGAGTCTCCAGGTTTCAGACCGTCTGTTCTTCTATCCACCCCCAGGCCTCTTCTCCCCAAGATCTCTACACTCAGCTATGAGCTCAAACATCACTTCCTCAGAGATTTCCAGGACTGCACAATTTAATAAGTATTCCTTTACCCCCATTATTCTATCACCCCTTCCTTCCTCCTTTATTTCTTTAAAGCATTAGCATTATCTCAGTGTGTTTTAAATGATCTGTTTTGCTAACTTACCTCTGACCAACCTATCTAGAAAAATCACTCAAGGAGAGAAGGAACTGTGTGCTTTCACTGCTCTGTCTCTGTCTACCAGAGAAGTGTCAAGCATGTAGCAAAAACATACATCAGATATTCCTTTAAATATGCTCACAATTCATTTCATTTAACCCCTCCTCCTCCTCCTCCTCCTTCTTCTTCTTCCTTTTTTTTTTTTTTTTTTTTTTGGTCTTTTTGAGACAGGGTCTCCCTGTAGCCCCAGCTGTCCTGGAACTCACTATGTAGACCAGGCTGGCCTGGAACTCACAGAGATCCGCCTGCTTCTGCCTTCTGAGTGCTGGGATTAAAGGCGTGCATCACCACGCCCAGCCTAGCCCCATTCTTCTTAACGTCCCACCAGACTCCCTTTAAAAACACTGAAAAGAAATCTTCTATGTGATCCCTGAAAGCTGAAGAACATTCTACTGTTAAAATAGGAACTGACTGATCTCTATAAAGCATGACAAGCTCCAAACAACTGTGTCCCTAAAACCTTCATCTGAATGTCTGCCTCATTTGGAAAGCAGTGCTTTAACAGGAGTGTCAAAAATCTGAATTGGAACTGCTTCCTGAAGACACAAAAAAATAAAGATTATGGGGGCTGTTCCAACCCTACCATGACTAGGATGTAAACACATACATCTCTCCTCATCATAAGGTGATTAACTATAGAATTTTATGCTATTCAAATTTAGCAATCTTAAGGAAAAAAAATACATCTTCATGAACCAGACAAGAAAAGATGAGCAGTATTATCACTGAAATATATACATTGTTAGGAAACAGCAGCAAAGTAAACCAATCTTTAAAAAAGAATACTAGAAAATATAGATGAGATATACATACACGTTACAGAATTTCTTTTTTCAAAAGCAAAACTGGAGATTATTAAGGTTTTAACATAGACTTCAGGATAAGCATTAAGAGATAGGGAAAGAAACATTTGACAGAGGACAGTAGTACATGTTCAAGAATGGGCACAGGTTTCTCAAGAGAATATCTGCTAGAATATTTTCAATAACAAACTGACATTTGCTTTTCTATCAAAAGTTAGACAGGAAGTCAGAATTTAATAAAAAAAAATATTTCTTATTTCCTTACTATCTGAGATCCTGAATTTGTGAAAGAAATTAATTCTTGCTGAGTTATCTTAAGCTATTAAAGCTCTCATCAGCTCAATGAGTGCAAGGTACTATTCTTCTGTTAAGAAGTCAACACACGTACAACAGAGGCACAGAAAAGCATCCCTTGCTACAGAGTGGTACAGAGTGTAAAGCAGGGAAGCTGCCTGTTCTTACAGAAAGGTTTCATTGGAACATAGCCACACCCATTCATTTACTATCTATGTCTGCTTTAGGGTACACTGGTAGTGCTGAATGTGCACAGAGGCCACATGGGCATCAAAGCCTAAAACACTTACTATCCAGCTCTTTAAAGAAAATGTTTACCGATCCCTGACATAAAGGGTAACTTGGGTAAAGCTGAAGAAAATCTTAATTTGAGGAATCTGCCACTGCACAGACCCAAAAAAGAGCAGCCTGAGGAAACTAACCCAGTGTATTTCTACTAAAACTGACTCCTTCCAAATGAATGAAGCAGTATCAAAATATAAAAACAAGCCCAAGCCCTGACATGCCCACTGCTGATTTTGTGCACACTTTCCACGCACACGTGCACACTAAGGAGATATGCAGAGATCTAGCCTCCTATGACTGAAGTCACCTCTCGCTCTCTCTTCTCCTGCAGTTTCTGCTCTTCCTCCTCTCTCTCTTTTCTCTGTTGTTCTTCCCATTCTTCCTTTAACTTTCTCTTTAAGGAAAAAACAAGAAAAAGTTATTTTTTCAGATACATTTCTAAGAAAAACAGCATAAAGAATCATTGAAAAGCTTTAGAAACTGGTGACTGGTAAAAGATATCCATTTTCTAAATTTATTTATTTTTATGTGTATGAGTTTTTTGCCTGTGTGTATATAACCAAACTGTGTCCAGCAATGCCAGAAGAGGGAATCAGATCCTCTGGAACTGGAGTTATTGATGGTTGTCATGTGGGTGCTGGGAACCAAACCTGGGTCCTCTGCAAGAGCAGCCAGTGGCCAGTGTTCTTAATTGCTGAGCCACCTCTCTAGCCCCTAATATCATTTTTCTAAGTCAACATATGTAACCCTCTCTTTTGTTTACACAATGCTGGAGATAGAACCCAGGGCCTTGCATATGCCAAGTAAGAGCTGTATCACTAAAAGAAGACATATTTATTTATTTGTGTGTGCGTGCGTGTGTACATGCGTGCATGTGTGTGTGTGTGTGTGTCTGGGGGACTATATGTGTACACGGATGTAAGGGTAACATGAAAAGGCCAGAGGAGGAACTGGAGAGATAGCTCAGTGGTTAAAGCACTGACTGCTCTTGCAGAGGGCCTAGCTTCGATTCCTAGCCACATGGTGGCAGAAAACTGTCCATAATTCCAGCTCCAGGGGAATCCAACATCCTCTTCTGACTTCCCTGGGCATTGCACAAAGGTGAACTTACACACATGCAGGCAATACACTCATACACATAAAATTAAAAAAAAAAAATGGGTTTTAAAAGAAAGTCAGAGGAGAGGGTGTGATTCCTCGCACCTAGGGTTAAGAGTGTTTAGGGTGGCCAACTTGTTACACGGGTGCTGGTATCCAAAGTCCAGTTCTCATGGCCACACAGCAAGTGCCATCTCTCCAGCCCCCCAAGACAAAGAGCTCTTAATGATGTTATTTCAGTTAACTACTGAATTAGTTATCTGGTTATTTAATACTCTACCTCTTCCTCTTCCCTCCGTTTTCTAGCTGCCTCTTCTTTTTTCTTCTTTGCTCTGAATTCTTCTTGTGCCTTCTGTTCCCTCAGTAACCACTCTTCATGTAATAATTGTCTGTTATTATCATAACGCAGTCAGTAAAAAGAAGTGGGACTTAATCTAGAACTTATGCAAGGTAACAAAAACATGACATGTGTGGGGAATGACTAAAATATCACAAAAAGGGAGTTGAAGAGATAGCTCCGTGGTTAAGAGTACTGTCTGCTCTTGCAGAGGACTAGGGTTCAGTTCCCAGCACCCACATGGTGGCTAACAACCATCCATAACTCCAGTTGTAGGGGATCTGCCACCCTCTTCTGTTCTCTGTGGGCATTGCACAACATGGGTACACTTACATGCATGCAGGCAATATACTCATACACATACAATAAAATAAAAATAAAAATATCAAGCCAGGTGTGGTGACACATGCCTTTAATCCCAATACTTGTGAGGCAGAGGCAGGTGGATCTCTGTGTGTTCAAAGCCAGCCTGGTCTCCATAGTGAATCCAGGCCAGCTGTGACTATAGGGAGACCCTGTCTCAAAAAAGGCAAATAATAAATAAATAAATAAATAAATAAATAAATAAATAAATAAATAAATAAAAATAAATAAATAAATAAATAAATAAATAAATAAATAAATAAATAAATCATAAATAAATAAATCATAAAAGATATTTTGAAAAAAAATTTATATAGGTACGAATGCTTAGACTGCATGTATGTGAATGTACCCGTGCATGCAATGCCCAGAGGCCAGAAGAGTGTCAGATCCTCTGGAACTGGAATGATGGGTGGTCGTTAGCAGTTATGTGAGTGCTGGGAACTGAACCCAGGTCTTCTGCAAGCACAGCGAGTGCTCTTAACTGCTGAGCCATCTCTCTGGCCCCAAAAGATATTTTCTATAAAGCAATGAAGTGAGGATGGGAAAAACAACTATCCTCCAAGATATAGTAAGTTACAATTACTACTTCTACATTTCATAACCACCACATATGGCTGTGACATCTTTATGTAAGAAAATGACAATGACTTTCTCTTTAGGCAAATATATTAAAGCAATACTTCACTTTCACACTCAGATAGCATTATTGTTCCTAGTCTATACATTATTTTCCCAATGATATTACTTCTTATAATTGGTTTAGTTTTAAAAGTAAAGCTGCCAGGCATGGTGACTCATGTCTATAATCTTAGCTGAGACAGGAGGATATCCAGTTAAAAGCCAAATACTCCTAACAGCTAAGTCATCTTTCTAACTCCCTTAAAACTTTCATTCTAAAGAATTGCTCAGTGTGGACTTTCCAGTGCAGCCGTAAATGGGTGGGGGGGCACTCCTCTGTAAATAAACCCCCACCCCATGCTCTGTTAAAAAAAAAGGAAAAAAAAGGACACATGAGGTTGGGAGGGAAAGTGGCGGTGTGGGGGATAGGGGAGGATCTGGAGGGAAGGAAATGGGGGTTACTTAGATTAAAACACAGTATGTACATGTATAAAATTCTCAAACAATAAAAAAATTATGCACATTAAAAAAAAGAATTGCTCAAAACATAACCCATCCCCCCCAGCAGTTTAGATGTTTGAGGGCAAATCAGGAAGAGTCCCTTAATTACACTGAATAGGAGTCCAAAGTTTATGGAGAAAGATGACAGGTTTTTATAGAGCCACATTTACAAAATTGACTTTTGAAATGTATAGAATAGTCATGTGGTACATGCCAAGACTCCCAGCAATTAGAAGGCTGAGACAGGAAGATTACAAGTTCTAGGCAACTAGGGTGGGAAAGATGGCTCAGTGGTTAAGAGGTCCTCTTGCAGAGGACCCAGGTTCGATTCTCAGCACACACATGGTGGCTAACAACTGTCTGTAACTCCAGTTCCAGGTGATCCAATGCCCTCTTCTGACCTCCTTGGGTACTGTACAACATGGGTGCAATATACTCATACACATAAAATAAAAGTAATAAGTAAAATACTTAAAAAAGAAGTTCTTACATAGCAAGACTCTGTCTCAAAAAAATTTAAAAAAAAAACAGATCAAAACACAAAGGTAATATTACCTTAAATGGGTACATCTCGATATCCAATATCAAAAGCTTCTCATTTAAAAGGGGTTATGTGATAGCTAATCTTCAGGGTCAACCTGACTAGATTTGGAATCACCTAGGAGACACTCCTCTGGTCATGTCTGTGACGGAGTTTCCAGGAGTATTAACTGAGGAGGAAAAACTCACCCTGAATAAAACCATCCCATGGACCAGCCCTAGAGAGAAACCTTTCAAAGTTAGGCAACAGGACCAGATATCATAAGTTGATGACATGAAAATCAAATCATAGCCAGGTCTGGTGAACACGCAGGAGGCTGAAGCAAGAGGATCTCAAGTTCAAGACTGCCCTTGGCTACATAGTTAGACTGTCTCAAAACGCCAAAAAGAGAAAAAAAGAAAATCAAATCACAGTACATAATGGCATAAACCAAATTAGGTGTGATGATAAAAAGAAAAATATATCCTATATACAACAAAGGATTAATATTCTTAAATAACAATACCACTTATAAGACATATTGTTAAAAAAAAAAAAAAAGGTTGCTGGGCGTGGTGGCACATGCCTTTAATCCCAGCACTTGGAAAGCAGAGGCAGGTGGATCTCTGTGAGTTCAAGGTCAGCCTGGTCTACATGGTGAGTTCCAGGCCAGCTGGGGCTACAGGGAGACCCTGTCTCAAAAAGACTCCCCCGACCCCCCAAAAAAGTTGACATCTAATTTTAGCCTATCAACTGGAAATTTTAAATTTTATTTTTTTAAAAAATTTTTATGATTTTTCATACAATATACTTTGATGGCATTTAGATCCCTTCTCCTAACTACACTTAATTTTATTTAATTTTTATGGTCTTTTTGACACAGGGTCTCCCTGTAGCCCCACCAGACCTGGAACTTGCTATGCAGACCAGGATGGCCTTGATCTCACAGAGAGATCCTGAGTGCTGGGATTAAAATGCTAGGAATAAAAGCATGTGCCACCACATCCAGCTTTTAAGACCCATTTTGTATAATAGTTCATAAAAAACATCTATACTAGTTGTCAAGGCTGATAAAATTTAAATGCTTCGATACATGCTGACCTTTCTTTCTCCAATTGTAGTTCTTCTTTTAATTGCTTTTCTTCAAAAAGCGTGTCTTCCTCTTCCTCTTTCTGTGACACTCCTGGAGAAATTCAAATTTTTTATTAAACCCAGTATTACAAATCCTCAGTCAATAATAGTTCAGAGAAAAATACATAAAACCTTTTAATCTTTACAATTACGGTAAAAATCTAAAACTTCAAATAATTGACAGGCTCCAGTCACCCATATTGGTACAATGTAACCATCAACAAAAGAATAAAAGTAGTGGATAAGACATTAAACAAACAAACGAACAAACAAAAAAGCCCAGTGGTTCCATAACAATACTTGAAAAAAGGGTGTCCATGTGAGAAGAACATCATTTCTAGAGGAAAATGGCAACTGAAACATGGGGAAAAACTGAGGGTACAAACCCACCCACTTCTGGTGACCCACGCCTGTAATACCTGCACTCAGGAGCTGGAGGCAGGAGATCAGAAGTTCACCGTCATCCTAGGCTACAGAACAAGTTTGAGGCCAGCCTGGGCTACATGAGACCCTGCTTCAAAAACCAAAGAAACTAAGGTAGAAAAATCATTATTTTTATAACTCCCACTGTAAAAACTTAGATGGCGATATAAAAAATACTGGAAGACAACTTGTGGGAAATTGCATATTTATACCATCAACATCACAAAATGCTACCCACATAGATGAAGTTTAATCACAAATAAGGAAAACATGCCCTTCCTTACAATGCAGTGATCTCTTCACCAGGAGTGGAACAACTTGACATAGCAGGCTTTGTGATATATACACTATGAAGTTTACCTCTACTCTGCAGCATTTTGCTATAAAGATTATTTCTACAGTAAATCTAATCATGAGAAGATAGACTAGTTCAGAATGCAAGGTATTCCACAAGATAACTGGCTTAAGTATTTCAAAACAATGATAGTATGAGAAAGATTCTATATGCCCTGCCTTCACACCACTGCATTACTGTCTGTTTTATATGAGTACAAATTTGATACTATGGTTCTGCGGGAGAACATCCTTATTTTGAAAAGATGTGGGCTAGGGGTTGGAAAGATGGCTCAGCAGTTAAAAGCACTTGCTGCACTTCCAGAGGACCCGAGTTCGGTTCCCAGGTCTCATGTAAGACAGCCTACAACTGCCTCTAACTCCATCACCAAGCTCCAAGAAGATCCAACACCCTCCTTTGGCCTCTGCCCACCCCCCACATGACAGACACATTCACAGACACAAAAATAAATCTTTAAAACAAAAAGGGAGATGCAGGATCAAAGATTTAGAGAAGCAGTGCCGTGATATCTGCCATTTCTATTCAAAGGGTCCAGAGGGAAAAAAAAAACTTTGAATGAGAGCAAGGGAGAGATGGGGAGCAGGAGGGGGAGGGAGGGAGAAAAGTGTGAGCACAAATGTTAATAACGTGGCAAATTTAGCTAAAGCATTCATGAATATTTAAGTGTCCTTTTTTTACTTTTTGTGCTTTTTGTAATTTTGGGACATTTTTCAAAATAAAACCATGGTAAGCTGGTTTCAATAGAAGAAAATTGGGTATCTTCTAATCAAATCTTAAATTTAAAGTTAAAAAATCAGAGAAAATAGAGAAATGTGGAAGGAGAGAAATGAATTGACTGGAAGGAATTGTAACAGTCCATCTTAAAGGAAAAGGATCCTGTGATCAATAACAGCAGTTTACCGTGGTTTCCCTTTTCATCCCTGATATTGTGTTCGGCCTCTAGTGGACCAGTTCTCAAATACTAAAAGGGAGATACTGATCCATGTTGCTGGTAAAGACACTGCTCCTTCCCTTCTAAATACCCCAGGTGCTGCTACTAAATAATCACTGGAAAATCCAAGAGTAAATGAAAATTCTATAGCTGTTTCTCAAGATTCAAGAATCCTGGTTACCTGAAATTGAGGCCATGGTGTCTGGCCTTCAGTCATCTACGATCATTTAATAAGCAGTCTAGAGGGTACTGCTGGCAAGCATCATGACCTAGTACTGTTGTGAAATTTCAATGCCCTAGTCTGTATTTGTAGCTACTTTATCCTTTTATAAAATGCTAATTTTATAAATCTACCTGTTTAACACATTAATGTTGGGTTCTTCCATGTAAACGCCAAATGGCATCGTGGCTAGCTGCACAAATCAAGGGGTGGTGGGAGCAATTTCATGCGGGCTGAGGCAGTACCTCAGTTGGGGGAGTGTTTGCCTAGCAATGCATGAAATCCTGGGTCCCATCCCCTGTACCGTGTGTAAACGCTGCACTGTGGTGGCCGGCTGTCATCCCAGCACGGCGGAGATGGAGGCAAAACGATCAGACGTTCAAAACTATCCTTGGCTGCTAAACAAGTTTAGGCCAGCTTGTTTGCGACTTTGTCTCAAAGTTTGGACGGGAACAGAAGGTGCAGTGTCATCTCCAGGACACATGAGAAGGAAGGAATCTACTTACCTGAATCTCTCAGTCGAGCGAGTTCCTGCCGCCTTTTCTTCCTTTTCTCCTTTTTCAGGGCAGCCCTGTACTTCTTGTGGCTGGAAGATTGGAAAAGCACACCGGGGTGAAAGCAGCCCCTCAGGGCATGCGGCAGGCTGGAATCCCTCCTTCTTACATCCAGTCCCTCCATACCTGAGAGCAGGTACTCCCAGCTCTCCATATGCTCCCTTCCTTGTCTCCAGAAGCCCACGGATGCCCAAGACAGCCAGGGATCCTGGCCACAAGTGGGTTAAGGCCCGACTCCCCTCTGTTCCTGCAGCCCGTACGTCCCCCGCCCCCAAGCCACCGCGGCCTTTTCCCCCTGAGTTCATCGTCCCCAGCCGTGCTTTACCTCAGTTTTTCGGTGAACACAGCTGGCTTGGGCGCTGCCATATTGCCTCCGCCTCTCCACCCTCCGGAGATCTGACCCAAAGAAGCGGAAGCAACATCACCAGTGACGAAAGCTGACGCGAAAGCCAAGCTACCACCCAGAAGAACCAAAACCAAAGGCGGGAGGTTTCTTCCTGAAAACAGTCAGCCAGACACCCCGGCCAGAGAAAATAGCTGCTCACCGAAGATGCCTGCGCTGCTTTTCCTCTGCCAAGGACACAATCTTTTCTTACTCAGCGCCTTGGGGCCGCTGTGGCACCGGCTTTCTCCTCAGGCGGCATCAGGCGGTGCCCGGGGTTCAAGGAGTTAAGAGCCGGGCC